TTGGACTGCTAGATGGAGACCCAGTCGGCACGAGGGTCGAAATCGATGACAGGTTAACAGAGCCAGTAGGTGGGATGACTGTACCTGAATTCGAGACACCTGTAGGACCCGTAGTTGGCAATGTCAAGTTGGTTAAGGGGAAGGGCATTGTTTGAGAACCACTTAGCGAAAGGTGACTAGACGATGAAGTCCGTGTCGTCTGATTGCCGCTTATGGATGCGGATGACGTCTGTGAGTATATCCCCGTGGTTAGGAGAGAGCTAATGGTCTCAGTTGTATGTCCAGTCATTGTTATCGTTGAATTGGGCCATAGCGGAGATTGAGAGGCAGTAGATCTAGAATTGCTGAACCCACTACTTATCTCCCCAGAAACAGTTCCTGTTGGTGAACTCGTTACAGTGAGAGGAACCGTTTGACCATTCGGGCCATTTGTTGAATTGTTAGAAGGGAATAGGGGCCGAGAGGAGATCACAGTAGTAGACTCAATACCTGAAAGGGTTATACTAGACGTTATGCTAGAGAAAGCAGTGCCAGTCGGACCCAACGGAGACGCTGTCGAGTTTGTAATAGGAAACGGAGGAAATGTTGAAGAGGATCCAAAACTTGCTACCTCGCTAGAGATACTTGACTCAAGCATAGACGATCCAGTAGACACAGCTGTGGGCAGAGAACTAGGTTGTAGGGCACCTGAAAAGGAGAGAGATCCTCCAGTTGGTCTGCCTACAGTAATTGACGAGTTCGTCAATGGAAACGGAGCTGACTTCGTCGCTGCGGAGGTGATAATAGACAAAGTACTAGATATAGAACTGCTGGAAATTGTCATAGTACCGGTTCCAAGAGTTTGATTAGTAGGACTTGATGTACTAGCCGTTATATTTGATTGAACAGGTGGAGTTGTGGACACCCCCTGGCCTCCGGGGCTAGCTCCCTGAGAGGATTCACTCGGTGATAGAATAGTTGAACCACCAGTAGGCGTTAGTGATGATGACGAGTTCAGTGTATGAGAATATGAGGCTAAGCTGGTGATGGCGCCAGTCCCTGTAGGGCGGCTTGTCGCTGGAGAAGAGACGACAGTGCCCGTAGTCGTGTTACTCAGGGGAAACGGTACAGAGGTATTTGGCACTATAACCGAACTCGTCTCCAAGCCCACCGACTGCGTTTGGGTCCCCAAGGAAACAGATTGAGATGGTACTGTAATTGCTCCGCCCGTTCCTGTGGGTGCAATTGTTTGGTTAAGTGACTCAGTAACAACACTGATACTGCTATTGGAAAGTGGGAATGGCGCTTTTGTTGTGGAAGATATCTCGCTCTTAGTAAGACTACCAGATGCAACAATACTACTAACCTCCATACTAGATACCGATATTGTGGATATTGATGATGTAGAGCCAGTTGGGAATAACGTGGTAACAAAACTTGAGCTAGCAATAGAGAATCCAGAACTTCCTGCTGTAGACCCTTTGCTGTTCGTCACGTTTGAAATAGGAAATGGGGGAATTGTCGAAGAACTCGAAATTCCAGAGCCTGCGGATGGGGAGGCAGTTCCAGATGATGAGGTCTCTGTGCCTATGGTACCACTAGGACCACCTTGACCTGATGGTCTAGTTTGGGACAAAGTCACATTGGAGAGGGAGCTAATAGTCCCAACCGTAGAGCTTGCTTGTGTGACGCTAATTCCCGTTACTGAAGGTCCCGAAGATATAGTAATTGACTGTGAACCACTTCCAGACGCGGTGGGCCCTGCAGGGTTGGCATTGAATGTTGAGTTCGAGGTAGGAAAAGGGGCAGAAGTCCCGGCTACTGAAGGAGACGAAATGCCCGATGAAGCAGCTAGGGACGTACTTGCTATTTCTGATATACCCGAAGAGATAGTTTCCGATCCAGAAACTACCATGCTTTGCGTTGACTCTGAACCAGAGGTTGACAGACCTATGGATCCGGGCGATTCTGCACCTGATGAGAGTCCATTTGACGGTTGTGTCGGGGTACTTGGAACACTTGCGGTTACAGCGGCTGTACTAGAGGTGCCAAACGTCGTTCCATTCTCAATAATAGTCAAAGTAACCGAAATGCCGGAAGATATGATGACAGTCGTAACTGCTTCTTCCGTGCTCGTTCCGGAGATGGTAATTTGACCTCCTGTATTTTCTCCGTTGCTAACAGTAGAGAGACTGCTTGGACCTGTAGTTGGAGGATTACCTTGACCCCCGGGACCTCCACCAATGCCGGTACTACTAGTTGTGCTTAATAACGTGGTGTTCAAGAGACCGCTCTACAGATATGCTCGTTAGCAAGGTCCTATACCCTCGTTTCTGTATACCTAAGCCCCTATATGCTTATGAAGAAGGGTTTAAAGATACAATCACATACCAAAGGAGAGCTGGACACAGTAGGAAGAAATGAAGTAGGATTTCTAGAAGAAAGGAAACTGCCAGTTGAAGTTGTCAAAGAATTCGACTCTTCGGGACGAGTCGACGTAAGGATCGAACCGCTTGTCTCCCCTGTAGTTGACGTCGGTGAAACGCCCGTTATAGTAGGCACGCCAGACATAGATATAAACGAGGAAGTATTTGCCACGGATAATGATCCTGGAGCAGACGAGACCGATTCCCCTCCTGGGCCGAGAGTTGAGGATACTAAAACTGAGTGAGCCCATATACTGCTAAACTAAGCCAATGCTATAAGTACCTGATAAGATAGTCGAACTATTAACGAAGCCTGATGCATAGCTAGATCCCGGAATACTCGGTGAACTTGTACTGAGACCAGGCTGGGCTAAACCTGACGAAGAAGCCTTGGAGGTGAAGGGTGAGGGGGGTGGAGATCCATATCCCCCATATGTGGGAGTATGATAATTATATCCACCGCTAGGGCCATGCTGAGGATCGTCGAACAATTCGTAATCAATTCTTTGAGGGTCCATATCGGGGGATGGATCATGTTGAATAGCAAGGTGATCCCCTTGAGGCACTGCTCGGATACCCGGAAGGCTTGCAAATAGAAAGACCACCGACACCATACCAGCAGCGAGCGTCAAGGCTCTCATGATGGTAGATATAACGGATGTCCAATGACAGCCCGGAATCTATAAGATGAATACTACAGATGTTTTAAGATATGTGTGGGTCGTAGCAGTACTCGACGGGAACAAAAATGAGTGTAGACGGTCCGCAGTAAAGGATTAGAAGGAGAAGAAGAAACGAATGAAGGGATACTAAGTAGTGATATAGAGAGAAGTTAAGAAGATGGTAGTTGCGGAAATGGGGGGGGATGAATAATGAATGTGCTTTGTGGATTGGATTTCTTTACCCAGAAAAGAGAAAGTTGGCAGAAGGAAGGAAGCGACTGAGACGGATGTGGACGGATGATATCGGTAGATAACTGAGCAGATAATCCAATTGAGAGGAGGTAAGTTATAGAGGGAAAGAACAAGATTAAGATAAGGAGTGTAGTAGAAGGACTAGCCAACGCGTCGATGCCGTCGATAGCTAGACGTGGACCTCTAGTGCTTCTTTCGAGGGAAGGAACGGCACCATCAAGAGAGATTAAGTCGAGACAGCCTCTGGTTTCCACCGAGAGGAACGGTAACAACCCCACTTTTAGGTATCAAGTATACGAAGTATTGAAGTATATTACGTGTTTGGCCGTCTGTCAGAAGCCTTCCATCATACGAGGATGGTGGAATCAAGAGGTAGGTTACGGGATCTGGTTAATGTTCGGTGCCCTCTCGCACTCGCCGCTCGGCACGGAGCAGGAAGCACATCTTCTCCCATTCTACAAAATGTACACATCGAAACCCGTTTAGGAACGTCCTGAACGAATGTGTGTATGTGTATCTTGAGGACTATGTGATGGATTCTAATATCTTCAAATATTACTAGTAAACCTGTCCTGGTTCGTAATATATTTGTAAAATCTTAGAAGATGCAACACAAGGTATCGTTTAAAGACTAAGAACAGGCACTTTGCAGTTCTGTCAAACCTCAGCTTAACATCTCTGGATATCCTTTTACTACCTGTTGCATGGACGATTACGTTGACAAAAGAGGTAGCCCACTCTGAACATGTCTCTTGGAAGATAGCCGAGAAGATAGAGACATTAAAAAACTCGTTTGAATCGGGAACGCTACATGTCTTCTAAGACGTTTTAATTTAACGACGCCACAGGAACCCCGAGTTCTAGACAAACGACATCGCTACAAAGTCCCTCTGGGGAGAGGGGGGGGAGGGGGCTCTTCCCCTTTCTTCTTGCAGAAGTTCAACTTATTCGGACTTGCAGTTTAAAAACCTGTGAGCATTACGGGATTAAGTAGTGAGTACTGTGTCGCCCCTGTGACATGCTAATCCCTGTTTAAGTAGTAGTTAAGTAGTAGTAACACCGTGTAATATTACCTCATACAATTCACATCAGTTCGGTAAGAAGCTAATGTGACATATGTCGAGCGACCAAGATCCCTCAAGATTGTAATATGGAAAATTGAGCTCAAAAGTTATGGTTCTCCGAGAATCTCGCCAACAGGGTAGATAGGTAAGCTCACTTCCTGCGGTGGCTACACGATACTTGGGGACTAAACGAGGCCATATGCATAAAGCTGCAGAGAGCCTTGACAAGTAGTAGGTGCCAGACGCACCTAACCGTTGCATAAATTACCCATTAGAGGTCCCCAAAAACTTTCCTGACCAATCCTGCATGAGATGAGTACAGTTAAAGAAGCCTCTCCGTCATTGCATAGCCTCGAGAGATTTTCATCTTGGATATCTCACTTATCTAGTATAGTATATAAGCCATAAGACTATAACAATGGCTGTGTAGATTAGGTACGTTAACATGGATAGCATTAGCCATTCCTCATCCCGTATATACCGGTGTGTACCATGTCTAGAAAGCCTCGCTGCATCAATTCCCGTGAAATCTCTTTGCTAGTGTGTGAAGCAAACTCGCCAAGGTTCTTTCCCCGGAATAGAACTGGGGCTGTTCTAGAAAATCAGACATAGTTCCCGTGGTATTGACGTGTTTCGTATAGATTAATCGAGATTGTGCAGTTTTCCATGCACCATATTCTGAGACAAGTGGTCGGAAGTTGGGACAACACGTGCAAAACTCCCTCTGCTTACTTACAACATAAGACATTAAACAAGCGCCCCAGCGGACATTTAAAACTGGGAATATGTCTATACACTCTAAGTAAGACCCTGTGTTCAAACGTTCTAGTAATGGATGACATCCCGAAACACATAAAGATAGATAGGTACAGTTAGTTCAGTGAAGTATGGTCACTAGTTCCGAATTACAGTACCGATTTATCTGTGATACATGGACCTGAGCCACAGACACACTGCATATGTAGTTCCGAGCTCCTAGTGCTCATTAAATCTTCTAATTCGTTTAACTGAGATCCCTAAGGCTTCACGAGCTTACTAATCCTCGTCTGCTATTTTGCCCCCCTAAATGGTAACGAATAGCACAGGCTACCTACCTCAAGACTTAGTCAAAGTCTTACCAAGATGCAGGCCAGTTATGCGTTACTGTACCGGATCTTCGATGCACTTAATCTCGGAGGCGTCGGTTTAGTGCATCTTTCGTGCAACCCTACTCGGCCTTCTTCGCAGATTCCCGCAGGTTAGGGGCAGTGCCTTGTGTCATCTGTGTGTTTTTCTGCTCGATGTCGGCTGCCCAGAGCGCAGCACCCACTATTACCAATTGTAAGCCGTCAAGTATTTGTGCCGGGGCCAAATCAAACTTACCAGTGTTGGTGAATGCAAAGAATATCGACACTATAGGTATCATCTCGAGGACAGTCGCAATTGTTCCGAAGCTATAACACAACGTCAGCCACCCACGTGAATATTATAGTAACTATTTGGTACTTACGTTGCGTATGGAGCGGAATGGCGTTCAAGCCAATCCCGTTGTTGAGATGACGTCCACCCTTTCAGTTGGAAGTACTGTAACTGGTCAGGGGTGATAACAATATAAGACATATCGGGGAAGACGAACTCGGCCATGAATGGAACTGCCTCTTGTCCGACCTAATGGATACGTTAGACCATAGTGCCTAGTCGGTAGGGAAGAAACATTTACTTTACTTACCTTGGAGAATAATAAATATGATAGTGCCGACAACTAAAGGCGCGCTCTCATTAGCAACGAACACGACATCTCAATTCATAAACATACCGGGAATGAAGTTAAGTGGAAGATACATAACGTATCTGACCAGGGCCTTCGGGGTAAACTTCGAAAACGGGGTTTTAAGGACCTTGCCCAACCTCCCAATCGGGTCTTGACCAGATTTTAATTGCCGACCCTCGCTAACAATACCGATTGCGTCCTTCGCAACGAGTGTGCCGTCAAAAGTGTCGAGCAGCGCATCTTGTAAGAGAAAATTGCGGGAAATAAGGTTAACGATGGTAGAGCTCTCACTGAGAATAAGAAGCACCGTAGTAAAGACAGCCAAGGGCCCGTTTACGAAGACGAGAATTGCTAGCTGTGGCAGGTAAGTGAAGAAAAACATGGATGCCGTAACTCCTGCAGTAAGCCCTAAAGTAGGCAATATGCGCGAGTAAAATGGCTTCCATAATGATCTATGTGTGATGAAATAGATAATACCCCTATTGGACCATTAGCCCCCGGTAGTAAATCCATCTTAGAATGAAGGCTTTGATACCTAAATGGGTACAGGTAAGATCCGCTTCTTGCAGCCTCTGACAGGAGGACTTTTGCCTTTTCATAATCTTCTTTCCTACAATAAGTTAGTTATATGGAACCATTCAAAGTGAAAGGTTTCACCACATACGCCACCTCTTGGGCTCTGGCTTGAACGTTGCTTGCGAAGCTACTAGACATCCCTGAGACCTTAGTAAGATGTTGATATTCAAATGTTTAGATATTCCAGAAGTATTAGAAGTGATTAATTTCGACGTTCACTAAGCAGCAGAGAACTTTAAAAATAAAATAAAAGAGATGGATAAAACGCCGTCAAGTTGTAATACGTCAAGAATTGATTTCGTTTATTATAGAATGAATGACACGTGCTGGTTGTTAAAAAGAGATGTTGTCGTCATAACAGACAATGCGCCGGGGACCCCTGTCATATCGAGATCGGCTATTGCGGGTACCAAGACCCCACTTGCCCTCTTAGACAGGCGCTTTGACCATTGCGTAGGACATCAAGTCTACGATACTATAATATTATACACTTTGGAGTTCATATAAGATCTTATAAAATCATTTTATGGTAATACAGACCTCAAAGGGCATCTATAAGTATCTATTTGTATCTCAAACATATGGAACATAGCGATATGTTCCTCCAATTACCTCAACTTTATGAAATTGTAACTTTAGTAACTACTTTCCGTAGGCAGTCTTCTGTGCCTTTCATAGTCCAAAGTGCCTATCTTACTCGATGAGATCAATAAACTTCCTCAACCTTGACACGATATCGAAAAGCAGATGGTAGTTTTTAAACCTCATCTGAACAATGGTAGTTATCTTCTAGATATTGGTGGTTGTGCTGTGAAGCTTCGAGGTAGTTAAGGGGAATTTATATTTATGCCTCGACATGTCCCTGGATCAGGCAATATGGCGTGTTATTGATTATGCTGAATGGTGTCATACTTCTACCTCTTGCTGGCTGATAGTTAGCTATCAACCACAAGGACGTTCCTATAACACTTAATAACAAAAACGCCAACCACAATATCTTCTCACATAACCTACCAAGCTAGCATCACACTACAGCTCACCATAATATTATTCCCTCTCTTTTTAACTAGTCTACCATCCAACATATAGGTCAAGGTAGATCACTGACATCTTTTTGCGGATAATGTTATTATAAACGATGATGGCTATCTACAATATCTCAATAATTACTACGTAGCCGTGGTACTAAGACATACGACCAATATAGTTGCCACCAGGTTTAGTTTTTATCTTAGGGATACTTGGTACTAGTGAGAATTACTATTGAACGTACACATTAACTCATGCCGCGAGTCCCGATTGCTGTAAGAAACACTTGGTATAAAAACAAGACAACGAGTTAAACTTGTGTTCACCATAGCCATGTATAGTGACTACATAGTAGGGTATAACAATCCTCATCCAAGCCCATAGGCTAGTAATGATGCAATCTCTACAACCTAATAATCTACAATCCATGGACCAAACCCGTAAATGCTAGCATGTAACACATGCTTGCTTGCCTCTCGCAAAACAGGTAGAATAACTCCGGTAGAAGAGTTCCGAAGGCCCAGTGCGCCTACCAGCGCGGTAATCCTGTCCCTAACCATTAACCTTATTCCCTAATGTTTCGCCAGACCGTAACCAGTATATCAAAATCATGTCGTCGCAGTGACCAAACGCCGATGGTATCATGTAGAAGCAGATCGTACAGGCGAGAAAACCTATTCACTCCCTTGGTTTTCTGTTTCTTCTGGTGCTCGTCTGGACCAAGATAGAAGCCTATCCCGCATGCTATTCCTTAGTGTGCTGAACCAACTCTCCTGATGTGGGTGGTGTAATATTGGCGCGCCTTGCTCTACGTCGGAACTATCCGCTTGTCTGATAGGATCATCAGGAGATGAAGAACTCGTTGCTTGCACTTCAACATCTTCGTCACTATCATCCTGGTATGGTTCATATCGAGGGCTAGATGGCATCCCACGAGCTAGAGACCGGACAACATCACCCTTGCAGATGGGACATGTTCGCCGTCGTGTTATCAGCCATGGTGTTCTACCCTATGTTAGCTGCATCTTGAAAAACTTATAAAGGGTAAACTTACATGCAGTCTACGTGGAACTCATGTCCGCAAGGTAGACTCATAACTTGGCTAACACCGTCGACATATTCCTCTAGACATACGACGCACTCGACTTGTCGGCCCATGTACTTCTTCCACTGGCTTGTGTGCTGTCCATTACGTTTCTCATGCTCTGGGCGTGAGGGGGGTTTAGGTACTGGCGAGGAAGATTCAACTTGCAGAAGGTCGCTAGCTGATGGCACACTAGTAGTAGTCCGCGATCGCGGCCTAGACCTCGACGGACTATGTTGACTCTGGAGTAACGGTGTCGTCGGCGATGAACTGGTAGGCGATGGGACTCTGGACGTGCGACTTGACGTGGACGCTACTGTATGATACGTACGTACCGGAAGTCGTTCAACTACCGATTTTGGCGCCCTCCATCTTCTTCGTCTGATGCGTGCTCGTAGAATGAGCAGGGCGTAGACTACTGTGAGTGTAATAAGTGGACTGATGACTAGAACTAGGAGTGTGTCGAAAAAAGGACTAGCACCACTTGAGGGGGTAATGATGACCCAGAGACCTTCCCGTTCATCAGCATCAGGGAGAGACCCCCCAGGATTAGGAAAGAGCTTCCCATCATTGGCCGTATTGGCCGGCTTAGATTGGGCTTCAACTTTGGTGAAGTCCACTCTGTCGCCATCCCCGAATATCTTAGAAATAAGACCACCGTTAGCTGGAGCTAATATCTTGCTATTGGTAGACCCGATAGCATCTGACCCCTTTGCAGGCATACGACCTGCGGCGTATTGTCCACTGTTGGGAGTAACCCTACCCTTAGTTTTCCCGTTGCCGTGTTGCTTTGAGGCTTGACTGGGCCCCGAATTTGATTTTGCCTGCTTATTACTTGTTCTCACCGAATCTTGTAGTTCGTCGTCTTGGTCGGAAGATCTAACTAGGTCTGGGTCACGCCAGTCTTCCACGCCTATCTGAAAATTATCGTTAGGGCTTTGCTTGAATTTTGACTTTGAGACACCGTCCAGTCTAGCTTTTGATGCGCGCTCAAGACTGCTCTTTATGATCTTGTCCTTTTCATCCGAAAAGTCCTCAACTAGTACCCAGTCAAGTTGGCCACTGCTAGGCGGACGGCTGCCGCTTGATGCCAAATTATAATTGGAATTAGAACCCCAGCTAAAAATCCTCTTGATCCAACTAGTTCCCGAGTTTGACAGTCCATCACTAGGCGATGAGGGCCTTTTACTTATTGGCGTTTTTGCGCTTTTAGATTGAGGATTGGCCTTGATGGATTGTGCCGGCGAGGCCGCTTGTCTTGCCCTTCTGTTCTTTCGAGCCTTCTCGGACTGCTGTACTTTCAACGAAGGTTTACCGTTCTCGTCAATTATGTCTTCGATGAAGCTCCCGGGTTGCATCATGAGTGAGAGGAGATAGGCGGTCGTACGAGACGTAAAGATGGAAGGGATGGTAACGTTGGACGTGTCCCCGTGGGTGTACATCTGTATTAATGGTCCACCTCTCTGATTGTCTCCAACAATTAAAGCAATAGCACCTCGTCGTTGGGCCCACTTCACTTTCTCGAGAAAACCGCACCCGCCACGACTTAACAGGACTATCTTGCCGGCAATCTCAGCTCCCTCTTGTATCGATTGGATGTCTGCATGTCCCGAGCTTGAAGAACCAAGCGCATCACTCTGCGACGTGATTGACATGTCAAGTTTCTGGTGGAGGTAATCATCGGTTCCGTCGTCCACAGGCTTAACCTTAGATTTGGATTCGGACTTGGAGGTAGCGGTTCGGTCGACTAAGGGACCTTTGGAATTATCTCGTTTTTGGTTCTTGTTCTTCTCGGCAGCAATAGCGGGCTTGAATTGATTTCGGATCTCCTTTACAGATGGCTTCAGGACGGCATTCGAGGTACCATCATCCCAGCCGGGTACATCACTACATCCCAATTCACCTTCGCCCTCCCCATCTTGCGTAGACTCCTCGGTAAAGCCACTACCGATCCACAGCTGACCGTTCAAGCCGTTTATTGGTAGTGGAGGTCCAAAAGCGGCGGGTCTTGCTGCGAATGAGGTGCTGTTATCATCGGCAATGGTGATAATAGCGTTTGGTGGGAAAAGGGTGAAAGGCGTCGTGAAAGAGAAGAGAGATCTAAAGCCGACGAAGCCAGACTTCTGCGCTGGCTGAGAAGAAGATATGACGGGGGCGGGGCGACTGGCGGATGTGACAGCGCGGCATACGAGGAAGAGGCAAGCAGCGAAGAAGAGGACGAGGATGACGATTCTTGGTGGTCGCATGTTTGCGGTGATATAGAAGACCGCAGGAAACTATTTATTAACGTAGCTGGCAATTCAGCTGTCCAAATTTGTAGTTGACCATTCGTAACTAATAAGCGTACTAATAGAAACTAGTATCGCCGAGGAGGCATGAAGCGTATTCAAGATAAGTTGAGTCCGAATAGAGTGAAGTGGGGGGGGGCGATAGAATAACAAGATCACGGAAAAGGAAGCACAATATAGAGATAGGACAGGGTTAAAGGGAAGATCTATAAAATCCAAGAGACCTCAAAAAGGCAAAAGACCCTTTTAAAACTAGGATGAAGAAAATAAGTCTTAGAATTAGACTTGGGCGGCAACGATGATGATAGTAATAATAGGAAGGATTAGGATGCGCAACTGCGGAGTTGACGGCATTGTTGTACTTAGATGCAACAGATGCACAGATACATTCAACAGTGGTGGGACGTAATTACCTACCCAACTGGAACCGCGAAAAGTTAATGGTGAGGGTGGGTAGGTACTAAGGTAGGTAGGTTCTACATACATAGCGGGCTCGGGGGTCTACATAGAGTGGGTGCATTTTAGCATGGGGCCACCAAGCATACCGCAGCGGAGCTTAGAGCTAGATTTCTGAGTTGGCCGATTGCTATATTAGGTTAGTTGGGAAGAGTAAGCGCGTGCTTGCGTCACAATTTTGACGGACTAGCGCGAACATTAAAAGCAACGCGATCCCCTTTTACTCTTTTTTATCTTTCGATCCGGCCAAGCTTGAGCATGTGCGCCTGATCTGATGGTCATTACCGACGCGACCTACACGGTCCCTTATATAGAACCTAAACGATGATGACTCTTGGAGCCAAATAACTTCTCTTGGAAACAGCCGAGAAGGTGGGTGGACTATACCAAATGTTTCGCAAGGGGAAATGATCTCATGGATCACACGAGCAAACACGCAATAGCAATTTTATATCCTTTTCGGTCCCTTTTCAATACCGGACGGAACCCATTTTTAACAATCTTGTCGAGATCAGCATATCGCTATTGCACTTCACAATCTCAAGATTGAGAATCCGGTAAGCTCACGGGTATCTTTACATTATAACCTTCACGCCCACCTACACAAATTGAAGTCTACCAGCCGCATATCGTATTGCGTGGTGCACTTCTAAAACAATTAGTGAGGTATTTGGTCCGGGTGTTTCTTACCTACAGAGTTTTCCCTCGGGCTTTTATCTTTTATAAACTCTAAGGTATCTTCGTGCGGTGATTGGGATATCATTCAGAATATTACTATACTCCGAGATCTTACATATGCCAAACCCTTCCTGATCATTATTTAGTTTTCGAATAGCCACTACGAACGGTAAAAAGGCGACAAGTTTCCCAGATTTATACGCCAGATATTTATACGCCAGATATTTTATTCAATACATTTTATTCAAGAATTTATATTGAAAGAGATGTTGATATACGCTTTATATCTGACCTCAATGTCTATATACGAGCTGTAGCGGGATCTGATTTGTTTAAAGTTAGAAATCCTACCTGTTTCGGCAATTCTAGCTTTACCAGGCACACTGTAAGAATAGCTATAACTTAAATCGTAAGCGCTTCTATGATCCGAGTCCTAGGCAAGTGTTTGTTCCCCTGTTTCTTATTAAGGATCAGACTTTCAACATACCTTTGAGCTGAAACTACTAAGGTACGCGCTTTGAATCCTAGTGAGGGGTTGCCTATCTAATCCGTAAGTTAATATAGCAACCCTTCAAGAGACGGGGACGTGGATAGCGTATAGTTTATTAAAAACAAAACCGTCCTAGCTCATCACATTTCCAAGTCAAACATCCCACTGAATAAGTCAGTCCTGTGACACCAGATGGGATATGTCATCAACGCCGTGCCATGCCATGCCTCGTTACTCCTTACTATGCTATGATATGTTATGCTACGCGGTGCCGTGTTATGCAACTATGTAATGATATCTTCCGTACGCCGCTAAAGGAAGGACGAGTGAAACCCAAGTTGACACGCTTTTTGCGATGCTTTCGAACCATGCGCAAGTCGATCGACGCCATCTGCTATTCGGTGCCTGTTGCCAATGTCACAGTGCCGTCCTTACTAACCACTTTGCCGCGGTCCCACTCTCTCAAACCACCAGCCTTGGTCCATTGTACGTCGCTTTCGTCCTTCGTGTCGCCTTTTTCCCACTTCTTAATTTGTTCTTCGGTAAAGCCTGCAGACCGTAGTCTGTCCGCTCCTTGTTGTTTCCACTTTTGCCGGTCACGAAACGCTTCTACCGCATTGTCCCAGTCATCTGCGTCTTCCTGCTCGGGCGTAACATCTTTGCTTGGATCATAATCGAGAGCGAAACGGCCGTCTATCCCAGACGTGGCGGCGTTAGCTCCCCGTCCTCGTCGATGAACGGTAAAGTTTTTAACTGGCGCAGGGCCAATGATATCGTTCAAAGGATCCGAATCAGACGAGTCGTGGGAAGATTGGCGCTTGGTGCGCTTTGAGGTCCTTGATTGGTGGTGATGGCTTTCGCGCCGGTCTTCTCGTCTTCCCTCATCTCGGCGATGGGTTCGGTGTGAACTTCTATCGCGTTCCCTCGAAAGGTCCTTTCGACTTTTTTCTCTTCTCACATTTCTATCACCCTCAACATGAGACGCCACTAGGTCCAAAGCATGGCTGGCAGATGTCTCGGTCTTTTCAGTCCTACGCCTCTTAGACGATCCTCCAAGAATGGCAGCGATATCACCTAGCATACGCTTTCGGGTGTCGCTGGGTCCGGGCTTGCTCTTGCGCAGTCTCCGCTCTTCTTCCTTCCGCTTCTTGTCTTCTGCATCCTCGAGGTCACGAAGTTTTGCCTTAGACTCGGCGCTTTCTTTGGCAAGAAGGGCTCGATTATGGCTATTGGTGTCGCGAATGATATTGTTGAGGAATCGCGTGTTAGGTTTAGGTTGATTTGCAGGACGCCTGGAGGGTATAGCTGTTAGCTACTTGGTACTAGGGATAGAGAAGACGGAGGAGCAGAGACTCTGGTAACACAGCAGTGAATTTATGCATTAGGTAGACTAGGCGCTTACTTATTAGATTTTAATGCATCTAGACCCATCGCAGAATATCCCAGAGGGTAGTCCTGGGCTTCCTTAACCAGAAGCTCAGCGACTTGGCCGTCTGTTAGTAGGTCTTCAGGAGGCATTTTCGGTTGCTTAAGGGAATCTAAGAGGAATAAGTTGGATATCGCTAAGGGTTCATAAGATCGTTAAATCAGCGCAGCGATGTACGATGCTAGTCAGCGGGGTGAATGGTTCAAAGTTAAATGGACAGCATATACATGTTGGAAGTGGGTCCACGCCCCATCCATTAAAGGAACTTGCCAGCGCGCCAAACTAGGAGGTACCTGGTAAGGTACCAGAAAAAGAATTAAAGCCCATGTCCTACTTGCCTGTTTGTTCAGCACGCTTATCCTTTATCTCTTATCAATTGTAGGGTCTCACTACGCCAACTATCCACAACCCACCTTTCCTTTCTTGGACGAAAGTAAATACAAAGTAAATACACAAGACAAGAAAGACGAGACGAGACGAGACGCCTGATGCGTTGAAGTCTGATTATTTACAAACACCATTAGATATAGGACCTAAGCCGGTCTACTCGAGAAGGCACGCGACGAACCAGTCACCACAATGGCGCCTCCTTCAGCCGAGGATGTCTTGGCTAGGTTACAGACACTTGGTGCTAAGCAGGACATCACCATCTTAAGGCTCAGTGAACCTATATCGGCTACGGTCACACACCTACAGGATGCTCATCAGCGAACATCCGATGTCTCTAATTCATCCCTTGATGCAACTACGCCATCCTCTCTTGAAGCAGATCTAACACACTACCGAGAACTATTCGCCAAGTTGCGCTTTAGTTATGTAGAGCAAGTCTCCAAGGAGAAGTTCATCCGAGCTATAGTGGGCGACCCACCTCTTATCGTCAGCCCCCAGGAAAACCTGGATCTCGAGAAGGAAAATCTAGAGGCAAAGGCTACGTTGAAAGCCTTGAAAACCGAGGTCGCATCCATGGTCACCGAACTTGAGGGGAAAGCGAGGGACCTAAGCCGAAAATATGAGAAAATCAAAGTCGAGACGGTCAAGTTGGAAGAGCTTCCGCGCAAGATTGAAGACCTCGAGAATGCAGTTGCAGAGTTAAAGAAGACGCAGAAGACAGGATCAAATCCAAACCCCGAGCTGAATCTGCCTCTAGCCAAGACCTTAGACCTGGTCGAGTCAAAAAAGCAGCGCAAAGCCGAATTGGACAGGCAATTAGAACAACTACAAAGCCAAGTCCCAAGGAAAAAGAAGGAACTAGATCGATTGCAAGCTGAGCTACAGCCCCTCGAGACAAAGAGGCAGAATAGCAAGACTGCTGCAAAGGAGGCGCGGAGGCGAAAGGAAGCTGCCCTTGGTGGTGTCCAAGATGATCTCGAGGAGCGGGGACGCTGGTTTAGATCTGCAGAAACAGGTTTGAAACAAGTATTGGAAATAGAGAGCTGAAACACTATCACGATTCTATCGTTCAACAGGCACCAGGTGTTTTAAGGTCTTCTATTGTATTAACATCACGGAGTGGTGTATGAGAGGAGGCATATCAGGGGAAGCAAACACAGGCTCGTAGAGGTTATATGGCCATACGGGCTTCTCAAAGAAACGAACTACGATAATGATTTTACGGTTTCATGATACCGCCCTAACTGCAACTCACAGGTTCGATTAGAACTACTATATTAGTCTACATAAATAACTACAAATAATGTGTATCTATTGTCTCCAGATAGATCAGCTTCATGCTGTGGATCTATATTATACCCTATTTCAATTGTTCCCAACCTCCATAGCCTTAACATTTTGCCAAGTTGCCATACGAATACTGTCCGGCAATGGAATGGTGAGTGAGATGCGAGGATGAGAAGTTCAAAGACATAAATGAACAAATACGAGTTCTTATGATACCATCATATTTCATGAAAAGTCACATGCGCGCATCCGCCTCCGGGCCTCGCGTAATATACGCTAAGATATAAACAATATGATTATTCGACTTCCTCATATATAGTGCTTAGAGTTTACATAGTGCTCGCGACTAGATCCATATCCGGCACTCACTCAAGTTGCGAATCAGCCTCGATGAAGTCGACCGCCTGTGAAGCGTTAGTAGGTATCCTCGAGCACACCGGGCATCACTTACCTTCTCAGCAATGGCATAGACACTCTAGCAAGTGTTGGCTCCAGGTAATGTAGGCATGATACTAGCATGATACTAGCATCGACGACCCTCAGATTCTTCACACCGTGCACCTTCAGGCTCTCGTCGACCACGCCTCCAAGTTCTCTTGGCATCATAGCGCAAGTGCCCGAGGGATGAAACTCGGAAGGACTAAGGTTCTGCGCCAAGAAGCCGGCCAGATCTTCGGGCTCGTTAACATAATCGGGTGGTTGTACTTGCCTGGGGGAAAGCTCCTTTAGTATTTTCCAAAAGAAATACCGCTTGGTGAACCGGAGCATCTCGATCATGATGTCGAGATCGACAGGATTGGTAAGGGCCCTGTGGTCAACTATAGGTTCTGTGTTGAATGGGTCTGTGGTGTCGATGTTCACTGTGCCGCGACTGAGTGGATGCAAATCTACCAATGTGCCCGAGGATCCGGCTCCAGTTAGGACGTGGTTGCTAGAGAATGCATGGTGAGTTACTATTATCAAGTGCAGAGGTTTTTCATTTGAGAAGCAAGTTCAAAGCACATAAAATACTTTGGCGCATGCTATGTTCCTAGACATAGTATAGGGGCAATGAAAGTAGTCACTTACTAGAAAGCCGTGTTTGAGGAACGGATTGACGCCGTCATCTTCTTCATTTGCGCGCTATATCCTGTTTATCGATGTCAGTCTCTTTTATTCATATATGACCTTTTTTTCCTGTGACTTGAAAAAAAAAAAGTGTTCAAATAACCTACCAGCAGCAACTGTTGGGTCCGTGTCCGGGGGTAGCTAAGCAGCATGGTCTTGATTTTCCAGCTTAAATGCTATGCTTTCAAACCTCTCAGGGGAAATTACAGGTATGCCTAGCCATGCTGCATCATTGCCAATACCCATCGAGTATGGTCCCAAAGTATGTCAATCATTTCAGGATCCCGTATACCTCATACTTTTTTATATGCTTACCCGTCTTGTTGGCTCTCCACAGCTCCTGTGCCCAGTCAGTGACATTCTTGTTTCCACCAAACATATCCAATGGGCTTGGGTGAGTCGTAAAGTTCCGGACTAAAAAGGCGTTCCGGACTAAAAAGGCTTTTAATTAATTTCTTCCAATACATATAGCCTTGGGGTGCTACTCGCGGACAATGCTCATAAGAGGCATTGGATGATCCTGGAAGTTTTGGCCGACGCCCGGTAGGTCAACAGTCGTATTTAGGCCGGCTGACTCCAGAAGCTTCTGAGGCTTGATCTTGCTGCGCCGTAATAGTTGGGGAGAGTGGATTGCGCCCGCAGAAATGATAACCTCACCGTTGGCCTTGACTGTGGTGAGGATGGTAGTATTGCCATTCTTTTGTTGAAAAACAACTCCCGTGGCGGACCCCTCTTCAAGAAGAATTTTCGTCACATGAGATTGGGTAACAACATCATAATTTGTTCCATTAATCCCATCGTAATGTCCAGTCCTAGCGTATGACCTTTTAACCTTTTTAGAGTCCATGAAAGTCGGAAATCATTAAACACCTGCCCTACCTGCACCACTGTCAGGGGGTACAAAAGTAAGACCCTCAATGGGTTAGTTATAATATCACCATGAGGGACACAGAAGATTTTACCTTCTTCAGGTAAGGCAGGAGGCCATTCCAAGACCAAGTAGAACTATTACTGAAGAAACTACTCCATCGGTCGTAGTCTTCTGATGTCCCTCGAACGGTCATCATTGCATTAATCGCCGAGCTGCCGCCAACTAGGTTTCCAGCTATAACCGCTGTGCTCCGGTTCTGTAGGTTGACTTGAGGGACCGAGTTGATCTGGCACGACCAAGTCGGGCCCATGGCAGCAGTACCAGAGAAACCCTGGGTAATTCTAGGAGGGTCGACTCAATGCTCAAGTATTAGTAGGCCTATTCAATATCGAACTTTTTGTATCATGCTGTAACTCACCTACTTTACCATTTTCAATGACCAAGACGGTAGCTAACGTTAGCATATCAGTACGCAAAGTAGTTTAATGTTGGATCTCGCCGAGACTCACTTTTCCCATCCGCTGTTAAACAATCTGCTACTGCCAGACCGGCCGTTCCTGCTCCGATGATCACATAATCATACGAAGGTTTCACTTGTGTTGAACCATTCAAGAACCTTAACTGGAGCTCTGGTATGCGACGTGCCTGAGCAAACGGCTCAGCTACTGCGAGCAACAGAGTTGCGAAGAACCCAAACCTCGACACTGAAGCAAAAGACATCATGGAATCCTATTTCTCCTAACTAGACAGGAGGCTTGAGCTCAACCCATGATGGCGGCAGCGAGTATCATGCAAGTGATCTATATTCTAATAGACCACCCTAGGTCGACCCCCCCTCTCTTCTAAACACAATGGCTCGTTCGCTTGAGGTTACATACCAAAGATGAGAAGGTAATATACATCTGTATCAATAGAAAACTCCATTAAACACGAGCAAGTTGAAGGTAAACTCCTCGGGCCGGAGCCGTGAATGGAGCAAAGAAAGATTTTCCTGCCCTAGATCATGGCTCCATATATTCCAATTTCTCTATAGACGACTTCTGGAGTATGACTTTGGCATATTAGATTTCGTCGAACTAGTAAGCCTGGACTCATCGGCAGATCTCGCGAAACTAGCTGATATCCTCTTCAGCAAAACTCAACAGATACATGCCATCTAAGGCTGAGTACTGATTGCGGAGACGTTAATTATATGTTAAGATCTTCGCTTAAGTAGAAAAATATGTGTCAATTTCCCAGGATCACTTATGCTGACTGGAATTAGCCGCTAATATAAGGGGACGCGCCATCTGCAGTATACACGACGTAAGCGCCTTTCTGTCTTATATTTTTTTTCTAGTAATACACCACGCAGGAGTATAGACACGATTCCTATGGTGGAAATCTTTAAGTGTTTTCGCGAACTAGAGCGGTGCGTATTTTATTGCCGGCCTTTTACGTGGGTAAGAAACGTACTCATGTCCGATACTTGGAAATCACATTCCAGGATACTCGAGCTTTCAGAAAATATCTTGATATATCCCTACTTAGTGCGGAAATTAGGCATAATAGATGGAATAGAAAACTAACTTACTTCACTGGCGAGACAAGGAATCGTGTCTGGAATCGCCCAAATATGAGAACTCCTTCTTTAGTAGCTCCGCTGGTCCCTTTCCTGGGTTCATTAGCACGAGGACCTGTCTCGTTCAACCGGATCGGCTTCGAGGCTAATTCCCTGCCCTATTAGTTCAAGGTCGAATATTGCATTGTTTCCACAGTATGTTTAATATCTTAAACAGCGTTGCCACCTAGCCGAAATCCGCTGTTGGAAGAACGGAATCTTACTATCCTTTGTAATTATATACTATCGCATATATATATCCATCCAGTAAAAGTTCACAATACTGCTAATCGTTTCCCTTTCGAGTGATTCGCGTCTTTCAAGTCGGTTTCCGTGGAATAGGCCATTGAGCAGCGTATTGACATCCAGTCCTAAGGTCTTCATCTGATCTACTGTGATAGAGCCCCTTTAATGGGATCCAGTGGAATTGATAAAATTTGAAATGGCGTATATATTTACTCATATATCAATTATGCCTGGAATTTGGGTTCCAGTAAGGCCCCATATATCACCTGTCCAGTAGCCAACATACAAATTAAGATTTAACCAGTAGTAATGCGAATTTATTTTGATTTGCCATGTGCGTCTAGCTGCCTGCTATGTTTATCCTCCAAAGACCAATACATAACCCAACTAAAAGAATCCCACGAAAATGGTATTTTCATGTGCATAACGGGTCTGTCCTGGATACCCATTTTAGGTCGTTCAATTTACTTTTTAAGAAATTTAACAATTTATCCTCAAAACCTTTGCCACCAAGATCCTAGATAATTAACGAAATATTTAAGACAAGGCAGGGAGCATTTATAGTCGAGGAATATCGTCCTACATATTAAGTGGACGTAACGTAACTAGCAGTGCTTAATACATAGTTTCTCTATTTTATCAAAACGTATCATACCTTATCATTTATGTCTGGATTTACGGCACGGATTAGGAGTTTATATTCACAATGGCATCAACCTGCTTGTTTCCCTGGTGTTTCCCTAGTCTACAATGGAATTTCTGCAATACTAGACTCCGTTTCTGGGACAAAAATTAACCCCTGGTGTATCTGTCAAGTTAGAATGTGTGGTTCCCCTTCTTCATTACCCTATGATAATAACATGTCTATTACTGTTCTATTCATGAAGCTAAAATAGTGTTGTTGGCAAATGTCTGTCTCTAGTCAGCAAAGCCATGTGTGCCAGAAAGTTTCCAGGCAAATTCATCATCTTGGTATTTTCTACCGGTGCCTAATCAGAGCTCTAATCTGCCCTAACACAAGCTTTCAGGTAGTTACTATTAATAAAGTTAGTTGTCTCCGAAGCACCTAACCTAGACGGCAAAGGGTCATATAATACTTAACACAGTTGTACGATCAACGCTGTAGAAAAACAGTAGATACCAATATTATCCTATTCAAAAATGGAAGTTATACGCTCCTGAACTCCATGTTCCTGACTTACATGGATTAAATACTTCAGTATTACAGCACATGGTCTCTAGGGTATTTTAACATGAGTATATTCATTTCCTGAACTTTATGATCAGTTATACCAAGGATCATTCTTGTCGATTTTCACTGTATCTTCTACGTTCTAATATAATTTAGGAATACATATAAAAAAGCATGGTACCAACCTAGATTACGAAATAAGGTTTATTCTTTGGAGGACAAAATTGAATAATTTCCTTAAGTCAAAACCGATTAAAATTTATTATTAACAAATCTATATAATGTTCGATTACCATTTACTTCGAGGGTTAGAATCATGATTAAGACATTAATACTGATTAATTTGTGATTTGTACGCGAGTTTGTACCATGAGTCATGGCATGTTAAAAAAACCCCCCCTGGTAATCATAATTTGTTAAGTGAATATTTTGAATAACTTAGCCCAGACTGGTCCATAAAACAGGCCCATACAAATTTATATGACTAGCAGTGAACCGATTCTAAATATTGACAAGAGCCTATGAATTGATCTTGGTTGATTGTACATAAAGGAAATCCGCAAATTCACATGGAATAACACTAACTGGGAAATAACAGACTCTTGATTTGATTTGATCTAAATTATCCAATTACACGAAGAAGGAAAAATGAATCAAGTAAAAATACATGCTGAGCAGGTATGATTCCCCAATTTGAGGAAGGTCCTCCAGTGGGACGTTCACGTACGTTCACGTAATGATTGTATTGAGACGTCAAGCAATGAATTAAGGAATCTGCCTTACAGATCCTCAACAATATGAATATTAGGCAGCTGTAGTAACCGTTTATATTAATCGATTAGCTTTGATAGGCTGTAAAATGTTTGGCTTGTAGTTTTGAGATAGCAAGCGCAGATAGATGGTATAGTATATTCGGACCAACCAAACTTGGACCTGCCTCGAGAACATCTCAACTAAATTTCAAGAACTGATTACTCATATAAGATATGTACTCTATGAAGGGGCAAACATATTCATGGTACTTACATGTATGAGTATGATATGTACGTACAAGGCGGGTTTATCAAGTATAATTCCGGGGTAGGAAGTTGCGGGCCCCCCCTTTCCCCCTTGAGGTGATACACATAGTGCTTCTGCTCCTTCCGTAGGAAATACTCGGGACCACAATTCCTGTACATACCTCAGCTGATATCTAAAATTCACTTGTTCTGGAGGAGTACCTCTACGTAAGTACCAGGTATTGGCCTCCTTGATTAAACGTAATTGTGGTAGATATACAACGTTGCCGGCGCAAACTATTTAAAATCACCAATCCCCCCCCCCCCCAGCCTTCCTCTAGTCCTACAAAACATTTCTCCTTTCCCAATCTTACTTAACCTGTTCTAATTCCGTGTCACTATTTATTTGGTCACACACACATCTTTTTTTACAACTTCGTCTACAACACTCGTCCACATCTCATCTACATCTATCATCTCTTGCCACAACTTTCGTTTACAACTCTTGATTCAACTCTCTCCATTGGCATTTGGAGTCATTAGGTGAGTGCTCAGATTACTCCTCGCCTACCTGAGATATTTCCAAGCTATACTTACCATCAAGTGGCGCGGCCTTGATGCGAAGAAAATAATTCTAGGGGGGCAACTTGAATATTGCGGTTCAACTCTAACATCTAACACCTAGTTACACAGTTGGAACGATATCTTGACAATCTAGAGATATTGATACTCTAGCATCGACGTGAGACGCGTCCTGCTGATACTTCAGTCTAAGCACGCGAGTTCTTAAGTCTTGTTGCTACAACGCGACTTAAGTATTGGCCAAAGCTCCAATCTGGTAGTAAGTGTTTCTCCGCAGATCCATTCATTGTCAACTTGCAACTTGCATGTCCCATACCTTGCCGTCCTTTCTCATCCCACCCCACCTTGCCAACTAACGCCGCTTCATCTGCAGCAACAACTTTTGAACATTGACCTTCGTCCGTCATACCATCACATCTCCGATCAGTAACTTCAAACACCCGCACTTCTGTCTCGGTAAGTCTATTTCCCTTGTTCCCAAGTCTTCGTCGTCGCCATAGTCCTTTTGTTGCCTTAGTGTCTCGCCATATACGGAACACCAGATGCATCACCCCCAACTCCAGTTTAAGTGATCTTAACATCTCGTGCTGCCCCGACAACTTATCCTTCCCTTCTCGCAAACACATGCTGACCCTGCCAGACACACAAAGCAGTTCTTCATCTTGCACCAATTTTGTCCACTGCATCTCGAGAAGCCTCGCTAGTAGTAAGTTCATCCCTTCCATCGTTCATCATCATTTATTCCCAATTCATCGCCCCATATCCCAATAAAAGATTCGTCGCGCAGTCGCAGTCTTTTCACCTCAATACGTCGCTGTAATTCACTGAAACTGTGTTGTCTTCTCCTGAGCCATCAAACATTTACCCCCTTTCCACGCGCAGACTTAGAAGTCTTCGTCGTATTCCACAGACGAATATCCTCTGCTGCTCGAGGCACCAGCATTTTTCTTGGTTCCCCATCATCTTCATCTCTTGTCATAAAATGAAAACGTGCCTACCTCGTCTTCCTTTTTGTTTCTTGTGGTCTTATCATTACACACTATCAAGACGCGGCGCATGTTACTTCGATTTGTTTAGCCTAGTTGTTATAACTGGCTCGGTT